TGGTTTTAGAAACTGTTGTTTTCACAGCAGACAGTTTCATGAAGGATTTGAAGTAGCTTCAGTTGAAATGGTAAAGCTGCAGGTATTCTGCCTTCTTTCTGAGCCATTGCCTTGCAGATATCATCGACCACAATGTGATGACTTTGTTTTTCAGACTCTCGGTTTGGTTGCTGAAGTGCTGATGCAGCGAGGTGGCCCCTGAATAATAAGTCAGCGGAGAGCAAAGGAGCCAAACTCCAGGACTTTGATTAACTCTCACCTTCTCCAAAACCATTACAGAAAAAATATTTCTCAATGTACTCTCAGAGCAGATTTGTTTTTGGGAGTGAGTCCAATATAAACCACAGAAAATGTTGATGTGCTTCTTTAGAGCCTTAGGAAGTGCAGTCAGATAAATAGCAGTATTTTGTCTTCTAATGATTAGCAACTTAGAGTCTGTTTCAACTTTCTGAGCTGTTTGTTCATGTTGTGTCAGTTTGGTCAATAATATGTGGAAGGAAAATATTAAGTTGTGTAATCTCCTAAGTGCTTGGGAAAATGATGAGCTCTGAACATTGACCAGCATATGTTTAGTAATTGATGTCACTGAACTGCAGAAAGTGCCGTGTAAGAACCGGAGTCATATTTTCCTTCCAAACAGGTAGATTTCATTGCAGTCTTTTTAACCGATGCTGATCAATAGTTTTTTGGATCAATATCACCTCTTCTCTACCTTACTTGTCTTCTGTTCACCATTTTTATGGATGGATGCTCATGATTAAGCCACTTAACTCCGACTCATTAATCAGACTGGCACAAGAAATCTCTACATGTTCCCATTTCTTTAATTGGTTGCATAAAATACTCCAAGATGCCACACAGTCTGACAGCAAAAGAAAGAAGATTATGAGCTCTCAGAAGCTGCTTCTCACCAAAGAACTTTTAAAATGCAGTAGATGATTAGGAAAGTTGAAAGTTGATGCATTTCTGTTTCTTTTTACTGATAAACTTGGTACTTAGTACTTTTAGAGGAAAAGTAGGTTGTCAAGTATGTAATATGTTTTTCATTTCTGACCTGGAGAGAAATCCATGATGGCTGGGTAGAACTTGTAGACTATGAAGAATGATTCAAACCTGGCCTGGGATCAGAAACCCCGTCACTGTGGCAACAGCTGCATCACAGTTAAACCCTACGGTACAAGTTATGCTGTTATCTCAGCTTACTAGATCTAATCTTAATTTAATTAAATTTGACTTTAGTTTAAATTTACATAATTTAATTTTAGCTTTGCTTGGCTTTGTTGGCTCTTACCAGCCACGCATTTTGGTATTTCTGCTTAAAGCTGCAGTATGTAACTTTTATCAAAAAAATATATGAGTTGTACATATTTGTTAAAGCTGTCTCCATGTCTGAGACACATAATCTGTGAAAAGATCAATTTCCTCCACCTCCTCCCTGAGCTACTATTGCCATCTGAATCCACAGCTCTTGAACAAAAGCAACCAATCAGAGCCAGGAGGAGGGTCTTAGCTCTGCCAATCAAGCTCATGTACCCGCTGCTAAATGTGCTAATGACCGAGCAACAACTCACCATTACAGGAAAACCATTTATCTGCTGTCATCAGTGGCCATGCTAACCAGCCTAACAGCCTGACACAGGCCACTGATTGACAGCGTTAAGACCCACCCCCCAGCTCTGATTGGCTGTTCCACTGTAGCATGGGAGCACTTGGAGACAGCAGTCTTGCTCAGTCTTTTCACAGATCTGGTATCTGGTATCTGTCTCATACCAAACTGTCATGACATAGTGACAGTTTCAACAAATATGTAAAAAAAGATATTTTATATTTTATATATATATTTTTTTTTATTAATTTTTTTTTTTTTTTACAAAATTCTGTCTAAAAACCGCCTTCCTGACTGGAATTGGTCACCTTGCTGTCGTAGCAGAGACCCATTATGCTGCCCTACAGCTCCCAGTTAGAAACCTTAGGTAGGAGGAAGTTCTGTATTTGTGCGATTTTCCTTCTCTTTTTAACCAATGCACCTATTGGTGTTTAATTGGTCTCAAAAGAAGGTAGTTCTTGGGTCAAAAACTAAATATAAAAAGAATGCATAGAGGTGAGATAGGTTTTTTTTTTTCTTTCTTACCAAAGTTGTTAGCTGGACCCTGGAAAAGCAGCCAGAGGTTCAAAGAAGTACCTTGAAAGGTCTTCAGAAAAAATAACGATCATGAAAATCCAGCATGTTGAGAAGCAGATGGTGCTTTAAAACTTTTTCCCAGTAGCTTAACACTTTTTAACAGCGTAATCGTGATCGTTTGTGGACTTGTTTGTTTAGGAACCGTTCACAGAGATTGTGAACTGTGAATTACTTAAGCTTTGGCTGACTGTAGGCTGATGTAAATGAAGTGTTGTAGCAGCAACACTGTGCTGGTCTCTAGAGAAGTGGTTGTTGACTGTGGTTTCTTTGCCAGCATAACCAGTGTGGCTGTTGGTAATGGGAGCTTTTCATTAGGCTAATGTGTCTCCTCACTTCCCTTACTCACATATCTTCTTTAAGTGTTTACTTCTTCGAGCAATTACCTCTACAGAATATAAATAATCTGCTTCTTTTCTCTGTAAAAGACTCGTTTGCTTCCTTCCCAGTGAGCATCTAAACGATGTCTAAGTCGTTCAGAGACATTTTGGTTAAATTATGTTGTTTATATATTTTTTAAAGTGAACATTTCTCTTGTTGTCTTGGATTGGTTTTAGAAATCCATTAGATGTCTAAACACAGGCCATTTCGGCTGAGATGTTGGAACTTGTCTGTTGCTAATTGTGTCCTCTATTCATTGAACTATACATATGAAGCATAAATCGAAGACTGGTGATGAGTATCCCTAATGTTTTAGTTGTTATCACAAATACAACTAAAAATTAGTTCCTCATCAGACCAGGCATGTCAAGCTTGGTCACAGATGAGGTCTTGGAGAATCAAAAGTGCTGAATATTGTATTTCCCCCAAATTTTTATCATTATGTATCATGCTGCAAAAACATGAAATTAGTTTATACTGCTAATTCAAACTATAGTGTCTGAGTTTTAGATCACATAGTCTGGCATTTTTTTTTATTTACAGACTTTTTAAAAGTCTAAGCTTAGACTACTTTTAGAGAAGGGAGCTTTGCTAAACCATTTGTCTAAATAATATCTGTGAATAGATGCATTTCTGATTCATGTCTAAACTACAAATCAGATTTGAGTGATTACATTTTTTTTAGTTCAGATGCAACATTTTCTGAATCATATCTGATATCCAAGATAAGATAAAAACAAGAGTTGGATGGTGCCAGTATATGCCAAATATGAAAAAGAAAGTGAGTCAAACAATCAGAAAATGAACCTTTTAAGCGCGTTACAGCCATATCAGATATTAAACACTTGTGAACCTTCAGCTCTCCAAGTCAGAATTACATTTTTGGCAGGTACTCTGTTGGATTTTTACGACTTTGGATCTCAGAAATCCCATTGTCTGAGAAGGAATGCAACTGATATATGTTTTCATATATACGTTCAACAATAAATAAACATGTCTCTAAGGTTGCAATATATTAGTATTGTTAACATTAAAAAAAGTGCATTTAAAAAATATAAGACACATTCTTTCTAGCTTTAAATTAGGCATCTTATTCAAACCATTCATGTATAACTTTAAACATGGCTCTTTATGCTGGTGAGCATGTCAGAGTGAATTTAAACAATAGGTTTGGAACATCATAACCTGAAAAGCTTTAGCCTCTGAATGCTGCTCTACTGTTTCTAGGGGACACAGTTATACATTGTTGGACTTTAAATAACCTCCAAACCTCACAGGTCTATCACTAAACTACTAGCCTGACATTTTGGTTACCAGGTGCTCTTAGAAATCTGTGGTGGCTGCTTTTGTAAGACTGGTGAAGTAAAGTGAACAAGTACATTCATCGGAAACTTTGACAGGTGCAACTTTGAATGACAACAATTTCTACTCCTAGTAGACCAGTAATCTTGTAGGTGTGACAGTTTCTCTCTTTTACTTAAGTCTTTTACCTCTTTGCACGCTATGAATAGACTGCTGTGGGGAACGATGCTTACATTAGGCTGCCTCGTTGACTCACTGCAGAACTCCTTTTGCTTTAATTTTGCATTGGTAAAATTGGTTTGGTTTCCCTTTTAGTCTTTAAAATGAAAGCTATTTTGCATCATTCGCCATGTCAAAATTAATCAGAATAAGGTTTGTTTGTGCTTTCTGATGTGTCCTTTTGTGTGCCAGCTAGCCGAGTGACACGCGTTGTGGTTTCTCATTTTCGGCATGGCACGACGGCAAACCACACACACACTTCCGCTCTAAACTGATTGAGTTTGTGTGCTCTAGAAGTTCATCTACTGGGGGATTTCTCTTCAGTCAGAAGTCAAAATAGCCATTAAAAATGTTTGATTTAAATCTGTGGCATTTATGAGGCTATGAAGGCATGGCTCATTTAACCTCAAACACTATTAAAATGTTTCGCACATTGTGAGCTCTCACACACACGCAGTCTGTTTATTGAAGGACTCGGTGCACTGACAAAACGCTTGTCATGAATAAAGATGGTTTCCATGTTGACTCGTGGCAGCCAGGGAGTTTCTGCGGTGGTTGATTTATGTCGCAGGGTTTTTTCGCTTCTGTGTGCGTTACTTTGAAAACAGACAGCACACATTCAGTGTATTAAACCCGTCATATCTGAGAGGAACTATGTTTTTCCAGCTGACATTCCAGGCACTGCTGACAGAGTTTGATTGCATGTCACACTTATGTTTCTCGTAGCTCTGAAATCACAGTCAGAATACAGCCTGTAGGATAATGTGCACACTTGCAACACATTGTGTCGTGTGGTTTGAGTTTTGAGAGACAAACTCTGATGATTATGCTCCAGTTTTAGGGTGTGTGTTTTTGATTGCAGGTTGTAACAGACATTTTTTTTTTGTTTTGTTTTTGTTTTGTTTTTTCTTCTCCACAGGGTTTGCAGGTGAAAACTGATTACGTTCCTCTACTTCAGTCACTGGCCACATATGGATGGAGACTAACCTGCGTGCTGCCGACTCCTGTAATCAGGACTAACAGGTAATGACACTATTTTCAAGTGATTTTTGACCTCTACTGACATCTGTTGACAACCCTGAGAAGTGCAGGAGCGCTTAGGAAAGGATACTTGATGCTGCTTGGACAGATTTCACCATCACAAAAAGCTCAGTACTTTAGATGTATGCTCACTTAACATGTATTTGTTGTTGTTATGCTGTTGTTTTGCTTAGTTTTTTTTTAAAGCACCAGATGCTACATAAATAATAGCATAGTTGAAAAGGTAACTGACTTGAATAATTCAGGACAAAACAGTGAATTCCTGCGTAGCATGTATTTCATCTTCCACTTGACATTACCCAGTTTATTCTGTACGGAGTTAATGCAGACTAGTTTATTTATTTCAAACATGTTAGTAGTATAAAATCATGCACAAGAGTAAGGAATGCAAAAGACACAGTAATCTTAACATGGTTGAAAAATTTGGTTGCTAATCAAGCACAATGTTCTTGATTAGCACTAAATCACTAAAGCAGGTTTTAGTATTTTTGGCACTGTGGGAAATTGCCAATTCCTGGTAGAAAATGAAATCAGTACAGTTTTTCCCCTCTCTTTCTGCTCAGCTTCACAACTTCACAGCTTCCTGGTCAATTATATTTATACTGTTCACATAAAGTAAATCTACATAAAACATCAATTTCCACCCGCAACAACAATTAGCTCAGTCCCCAGTGCTAAAGGGGATCTGCAAGAACAAAAGGAAAGATGAAAACTGGGCTTTCTACTTCATGTGAAGCTATTTTTAAAACCAACTGGCAGTTTTTCAGTGAAAAACGAGACATATAATATATGCACAAGTCAAGTCTTCAGATGAATCTGACAGCCTTTCAGAGAAGTCAACCTGACTGTGTGTCAGTCTGGGCTGTGCAGCTACTGCAGCTGCCTGTGCACGTCTGTTGACAAGCAGCGGCTCTGTTCAGTGGAAAATCTGTTCGCAGAACTGTAACGGTTCCTCTGCAAAGCCTGCGCTGACTCATCACTCCCAGCTGCTATATGAGTGTACGTCCGCTTATGGTCAAAAGGCCTCGCTTGTCGTCAGACGCACAGTAAAGCCTCGCATTGACTCAGAATGGCGATGATTTAATGAAGCAGTCTGATATGCTCTGAAGACACTGCAGGGTACAAAGAACAAGCATAAAGTACACATGTAGTTTAAAGTTATAAAAACAGAGAATAATCATGCAGCAGAATAGAGTTACAGTGAAGCTGTACAATCAATAATAAATACAGTACAATACGAAAAGTGTTGAATTGCACATAAATTGACTCAAGCCTTGAACAAACATTTACTATCGAAAACATTGGATATCATTTAGAAATAATTAACTAGACAGTAAAGCAAAAATCGTTTTTACAATTAGATAATTATTCTAAAAGAGATATTTCCTCATTTTCTTAATTTATGAGACAAGTAGGCAGCAACACATGAAGCTTTCGTTATAGTTACTGAAGATGAAATTGGTTTTATTGTTTTAGCACAGTTTGACCCAAATGCATATTAATAATAACAGACGATGCTTTTCAAAGGTATTTATAACCCTTAACCTTTTCCACATTAATCTTAGCTGATTTATCACTGCCATAAACTTGAATGTACTTTATTAGGATTTTATGTTGTAGACAATGTCATCTTCCACTTGACATTACCCAGTTTATTCTGTATGGAGTTCATGCAGACCAGTTTAAATAATTGTTAAGTGGAAGAACCATAGTGCATGGTATCCAACATTTTAAAAAAATAAAAAACTGAAAAATGTGGTGTGGCATGCAGGGGTGGAAAACGTCAGTTAACTTACAGCATCATGGAGACCGAGGAATGCAGCAGACGTGTCAGAGATAACGTTGTGTAGAAGTTTAAATCAGGGCTAGGTTCTAAAATAATATATCAAGCATTGGACATTTTAAGGAGCATCATCTGAAAATAAGCGCATACACATCTGTTAACCTGCCACCACATGGCCATCCACTTAAAGTGACAGGCTGCGCAAAGAGAGCATTAATCAGAGATGGTAAGACGAATCGAGCTGCAGAGGAGTACTAGAAGGAAAGAGATTGCATAAAAGTTGAGACTAGCCCGGAGGTTTGCCTTCGAGGAGGAAAGCAACCATAAACATACAACCAGGCTGGAAAGGGAAAAGCTTAGATCAAAGCCTGGAAGCATAAATTTAGTCGAGAATCTGAGAAAACACTTGAAAAGTGATACTCAAACCATCTTAGCTGATTTTTAATGAAAATTTACTAGAACAGCTCAAAAAAGTTTACACCCAGCTTTAACTGCTGTAGAAACAGCTCAGAAGTCAAACCTGCTCTAAACTTTCAACCCTGAGACATTTGTTTCCTTTGAAAGGCAGATTTTACCTGTGGTTGTCAGACAAGGTTAATGTCATCGTATTAATGAGTAAATGTGGAAGCTCCGTGAAACCAATCTGCAACAAATTAATGGTCGCTGAAAGTCGTCTCTTCAATAAAGAGTAAGGAACAAAAAGGCACTTCATCCTTTAGTTTTCAGCAAATAACCCTTTGAGATTCATCTTGTTGGAGCGTAAATCCACATTTTCTGTCAACTGTCAAACTGTTTCTCACAGATTTAACTAAAGAAATGTGAACACATCATGTCTTTGTGCCTAAGATTAAAATTTTATACTGATCTTAAGTCATCTGGAATGTGTCGACACACAACATGGGTCATCCCAAGCAAACAGTTAGGCAGTTGACTAAAATAAGTGAAAAAATATCTCTAAAAGTTATTTTGAAACTACCAAAAATAATGGTTTCATTTGGTCTTCACATTAAAGACAGACATTGGCTTTAACTTTTCAAATGTGACCCCTTTTTATACTATGATTTTACAAGACATCATTTTTACACAGGTCCTGACAAAAAGTAGCTGTTTCTCCAATTATTGTTACTGTATTTTGTCTATGCGCAATCAGAACTGTTAGCCATAACGAAGTAGTTAAGCTTTGTGACAGGCAGTGTTTCCATCAGCGCTGTGACGGATTATTTGCCCAACCTTCTGCTCAGCTCCTCATGTTCACTGCTCTTTTAGAGCACAACTGATTAATTGCCTCTTTATTTTCATCTTTTGTTTTTATTTTCCCCCAACAACCCCTTGTCTCATCTTTCTGAAAACGCCTCAACACAAAAGCACAACACGGTTAATTAATCACACTCGGCCTAGATACAGAACAAGATGGAGCTCGTTTCTCTCAGCGCCTAAAAGAAAGTATTCTGCTCGCTGAAGTAATGCTTGATGATCGCTTTCAGATTAGCAGCAGTCATTACACTTGTTTTTGAAGCGACTTCTTCATTTTTAACAAGTAAATGTGCGTGCAGCTTGTTGTCTTAGAGGCTTCCAGGGCTGCACTTCATCTGGAGGGGGTCGGATGAGTGTCAGTGATCTCAGCGGTGGCTGAAATTAATGCAAAAGTGGAGCTCAGCGGCTTCTCCACACAACATTAGTTCTTGTAGCAGGCGTTCGTGTTCACCATACTCAATTAATGTAGATGGTAATTACATTTTGGAACCATTAACTAAAGTTAATGTGAATTTCTCTGCATTGCAAAGGACCAGAAAACAACAAAGAATAAGAAAGTTGACACAAAGGTAATATTTTAATGACAAAGCGTTATCTGAGGTTTGGGATCAAAGCCAAGTCATATCTGCAACTTGATTCACCTGACAAGCTCTTACCTCGTCTCATCCTCCCTGCTCAGTTTCTTAAAACTTCATCTTCATCATCACCTACATTCAAAACTCACTTTTTTCAGACCTTTTTTTTACGTTTCTCCTTCTTTTCATCCCTTTATTCCTCTGAGTCCTCATCTGGTTACATAATCATTATTCCCCACTCGTCTTTCTCTCACTTCTTTCTCATTGTTTTCCCTACATAGATGTAAAAAGTAGATCCACCCTCAGCATCCATGCTCTTCGTCCCTATTTATAACCTTGTGCTTTACAATCAGAAGAGTAAACTCAGTGTGGAAGTGCAGTGTTTAGGAAATGGGCTTTTCCCAACCAACTCGGTACATCGTGAAGTGGATGAAAATGACGAGGAGGAGGTCATGAGATGAGAGGATGTCCAGTTGAGGGTAAATTGTGGTGGAGTCAAAGGAACATGATGGAGTGATAACCAGATGAACTGGGTAGAAGTAGACTGCTGGGTAATTAGAGGCATGACTGAGGTGTGGTGCTGCTCATAAACCGAAGTTAACATATCCACTATATTTATCTGTTTTTCCTCAACCCCTACACTGTTTTTACCTCAGGTCTCTTTTGAACACTCTTGAATTTGTCAAGTCTTTTGTCTGCTGTCACAGAAACCCCAAACTACTAATCTCCTCCTTCCTAACCAACAATCAAGAGACTTCACAGAGGAGCTTCAAGCTACATCTGTACCTTCATTTATCCATCCATTGTTGCCAATCTCCAGCAGTCATTGGATGAGAGGCACAGTACATCCTGGACAGGTTACCAGTCCATCAGTTATGCCTCATCCTCGTCTGTTTTATTGAAAAATGTAATTTACCTTATCACTGTGCAACCCTTTCCCATAAACTGGAATAAAAATGTTTTTTTTTTTTACCTTAATGGGTGAAATATCTTCTGAACAGGAAGTTTGCTTCAAGTGTTTTTTTTAATTTTTTTATTGGGTTTGTTATGTTCTTTCGTCTGTAACAAATTAAGCTATCAACAGTTACATTTACAACACAAAAACAGCCTCAGGCTGCCTCTGTTCTGCACAACATGAAGATGTAGCAGAGCAGCTGACGCTGGCAGCCAAGAGTAGGTTCAGCGAGGGCCTGTAATTTCTTAAGACATCTCACTCCTTTCTAGTTTAATGGCCTGGGGGCTTTTTGCCCGTTAGTTATCAGCTTTGATTCACCGCAAAGTCATCCAGCATCCTTGACAGGCCAGAAAATAGTTTGTGGATAAACGGTGGAAGGAAGGAGGTAATGGAAAAAGGGCTTTGGATGGTTTAGATAGAGAGCCCTCTGTGAGTCCATTTCATGTTGAGAGAGGGAAGATTTGTCGCAGGTTTTGAAGGGATCTGCAGCAATTGTAAAACCTGCCATCTTTCATACAGTGTGATGATCAGCAGCCATATTGGTTTTAGAAATGATCCAATATTTCCCCTCACTTGGTACATTGCCGTGAAAAAGTATAAGCCTCCATATAGGTTTTTTTCAGCTTTTACATTTTTGGTGCATACATAAATAAGGCTGTGGGGAGGTTTGAGACAAATTTGCAAAAATAATCCACAAAGGGACAAATAGAAACTGTCAGGAAACATGAGACAGGCTAAAAGATCCCCAAACATCTAGAGATTATGAACTGAGAAGAGCTACAAATTCATCTCCAAGGCTCTGTGACACATTATCCACAAGCTGATAAAACGTAAAGCAGTGACAAACCGTTCCAGCAGATTACAAGTCGACCAGAATTCCTCCAAAAGCTCATTAACCACTCATTTACAATGGTTAACAACAATGCCATAGCAACATCCAAAGGTCTACAAATAGGTTTTAATTATTTCTACTAAGGTCAGAGGTCGAGATTCAACAAGAAGGAGACTAAACAGAAAATCCCAAAGCGTAAACTTCTGGTGACCAAAGAGAAAACAAAAATCTAACTTTTTTTTTTCTGCAACACATTTGGCAAAAAAACGATTTGTTGTATTAATGAACTAGAAATGTTCTCTCTACCAGAAAATGATAAAAGGGAATGTTCACACATCAGTTTATAATCGGTAGCTTATGAAGCAGGAAAACATTCTAAAGTATTTCAGCAAATTCACCTCTGAATGGATAAAAAAGTGAAAGGTTTTGGAGTTTGGACTTGAATCTCAATGAAGTGCTGTGGCAAGTTATTAAAAGAAATATAAATGCACAAAACCCTGTAACGAATTTAACAATTCTGCAAGGAGGAGTGGATGAAAATTTCTACACAGTGATGTAAAAACTTAACTCCCGTCAAACCAAAAGCTTGACGCTTTTTTACAGCTGCAAATCAGGTAAAGTTGGATTGGATAACTCATTTACACCAGCCTGTTGCCTTTTGCCTAGAAAGTCCAATTTGTTTTGTGAGGTGTGAATGCACAATCAAACTCTGTTTTGTGCCTGAAAACCCAGGTCTTGGTTCGGTTGAAGTGAACTCTAGTGCGGTCTGAATGCTTATGTGAATGCAGAGACCACTCCAAAAGCTGGTCGTGGACTACGGCCCAGGGCATTCCAGTTAAATACAACCAAAATAAATGGTAGAGAGAGAAATGGCACAAATGAAAAATTGTTGGAAAAATCCTACAACCTGTGTAATCTGACGCTGCTCTATTATTTTGTTTTTTTACATTTTGGAAAGAAGGAAGATGCACTCAGTGTCTTCTGCAGATGTTTTCATGTCATTTCTTCTTGGTGCAGGACCATCGACAGGGTGAATAGGTTCTTTAAAGGGTTTGGTTTATTTGACACAGTGTAGTGTGAAAGTGAATTGCTGCAGCTAACAATGTAAAAAGAAAATGAGCAATTTTAGTCCTAAATTGAACTGAGTCTACTGTACTATCATGGGTGAAAACATCCTTATTGTCCTTACAAAACAAAATTAGTTTTTGGAAGATGAATTTCATATGAAGTCAGGCTATCTTTGTTTGCTATTGAAAGCATGTTGTTGATATAAAACACAAGTGTGACAAAAAGAGATAAGCATAGTAGCACATGCCAAAATAATAAACAATGATGCTGTCACAAATTAGAATAACTTTGAAGGCAAAGGTTTAAACTTCAGCTGGCAGTTACTTTTAGAGCACAAATTTGGCAAACAAAAGGACTAAACCTGACAGGGACGATCCAGCAGAAGGGCGAGGATGAGTGTGAGAGACGAAGAAAGCCCACTCAATAATAAAATCTGCATTTTCTGCCATGATTAATCTGTCAGCAGGAGTACTTGTGAAGATTATCCCTCTCAGAATGCAGGACTGTGACAGGAAAAGAGGGTGGAGGATTACATTTTGGGGAAACAACAAAGAGAAGAAGATGCTCAGAAGTTGCTCTCTCCACTTTCATCCATTAAAACATGAAGTACAATAAAGGGTGGAAGTGACACTGATGGATGACAGTGGTGAAGAGGTTGAGCTACAAATCTGAGCATTTTGTCTTTAATGTGTCAGATAAAAGGGTGAAGCATGAGCAGCCAATTGACTATGTTGATAGATGGCCAACGTGTGTTATCACTGGACCACATTCATCTCGGAGGCTTAGAAAAACATTTTTAAGAACAAAACAACAATAAATTACACAGAGTCCGACAAAACATGCTGATTTACGATTTAAAATCCGTAAATCAGTCAGAATGTGTTTGAAGAACAGCACCGATTGTTTCTAACATTTCCTTCCATCTCTCTTTTCTTTCTTCTTGTCTACATCTTTCAGTGACGGGAGTCTGTCCACCAAGCAGATCGTTTTCCTGCAGAGACCGGTCGTTAGCCGGAAGAAGAGGGAATCCAAGGTACAACATCTCTGACTTTTCTGTGTATTTGTAAGATTTCTGCAATCCTTATGATCAAAACAACCATCCTTTCCTTTCATCTTTCCTCTTTAATTTAAACTGATTTGATTAGTTTAGAGAGACGGCTAAACGTTTGTCTTAAGTGGAGTTGTTCTACTGCCTTATTGAAATCCAAACTTTAATCAAACCAGATGTGAAGATAAGCCAGCATCCTTACTGTTGACATTAAACTCACTGACCAAATGTAGGGCTAAGCACCTAGATGAAAAACATCTGATTTCTCTGAGGTTTGCAAACCAATGGCAGGTATGTGAGAGATTTGATTTGTAAGGAGCAAACACACACGGAACACACAAGTAGTGACGTTACTTTTACAGTCTTTATGAAAATTGAAAGGGGCTGGATTGTTTGTTTTCATGAGGGTTCAGAACTTTCCACTCGTTTGCATGTGGAGCAACCAGATAACACAGTGATGCAAGAAGAAATTTCAGCAAAACATTTCTCAACCCAGAGGGCACCAATGGAGGACTGTCATGTTGTGATGAAACCTCCCAAAAGACAGAGGAAAGACATCCAGTCGTTCTGATGTTGTATATAGATGAACTGAAATTGCTCTTAGGATCGTGTGCGAGTTGCTTTAGGGGCAATATGAACAAAACTCAAAGCAAAGTGAATTCCTTTTTCACACTTTTCCTCTTTGGAGCAAAATTAGTCTAGAAAAGACCCACAAAGTCTTTTTGAGATTAGTTTAGCAACATGTAACAAGATTTGTAAGGGTGCAACATAATTCACAAATGTGACCGAACGACCTGTTACTGCTGCACCAAGCCGTCAACTCTGTTACCAATCGACCCACTGAAATACAGTCACATGAACTTGTCACCACTCTATTTGGGTACTTAACTCTTCCTGTCAGTGACTCTATAATTATTGTTTATGTTTTGGTAGATTTAGCCAAGGCTGTGAAGCGTCATCCCAGAGGGCGTTAACAGCCACATCTGGCTCTGAAACTACAGATTTCAGACCTCGCTCCCGCTAAAGGCTCCACCACTAGTCCTCCTGTTCATTATTCACCATCTAAAACCAACATCACTTCTTTCCAGCTTCAGCACTGCAGCTGTTTTGGATTTATGTACATAAACATACACAGTGTGAACAAATTTAAACCAGCATGTTTTTGTTTCAGATGTGAGGAATGCTCCAGCAGCTGACAAATGTGTTATTTTGATAACCATTTGGTGTTAACACTCCTCTGCAGACCCCAAACAGCTGTGATAACATCTGAAGCTTACCTGTTTCTGCAGTGAAATGAATTCGTGTTGATTTTTTTTCTCTGGGTTTAGTCTAACCATATCTCACAAACACTTTGGATCTAAAACCTGTAAAATAGTTGTAGTTAATGTTTTTTTTTGTTTGTTTTTTGTTTTAACCTATTGCTTAATCTGTCTTTCTGACATTCCTCCATGTTGCGATTGTTACAGTCATGTGAAAATATAGGACATGCTAGGAAACACATTTGAGTGTGGAGATATTTATTGTCTATTTTAATAACACTGAAAAATCCAATCCAACTGTTTCTAGTGAGTAATAAATTAGGGCACCCTGGCATTAATTCCTGCTTTTGATAGAGTCACACCCAGGTGTCTTGTTTCAGATGCACATTTTAGAAAATCATTACTAGAAGTATTGAAGTATATTTTTGCTGTTTAAAACTCTCACATTTAATTTGTTGTTTTCCTGACGGGTAACGTAAGAGTTAGCATCACTATATGGAAAGAGATGTCTCAGGCCTTCAAAAAGGAGATTGTAGGAGCTTATGAGTCTGGTAGGGGATTTACAGAGGTCTCAAAAGAATTTGAAATCAGCTAATTCACTGTGAGGACATTCAAGACGGCTGCCGGCATGTCTAGGTCTGTTCGTCTAAGCAAGTTCCACCTGAAAGCAACCACAAGATCCTTAAAAAAACCCACATAATGTCATAAAACCACTGCAAAAGTTTAACTTTCCTAGGAGGTTTGCCTTTGAACTCTCAGAGAAAACACAAAGGCCAGATTGAAGTTTGCCACAAAGAATGTAGCCTGATAAAACCGTCTCACTCAAGTTAAAGAGAGTAAGACCAGCCATTAGAGATACTGTCCTCTTTTTCCAATAGAAAATAAATACTAAAAATAAATATTTAGGTTTCTTTTTCATTGTTTAAGCAAAATTGAATTATTTTCTTGTCCAGAGAGATACACAAAATAAGATTAGGCATTTCTTAATAAAGAACCTCATATGAATTGGCATGTGCAACATTTTCGCATAGCTGTATGCAACCAGATATATTTTCATCTGCTTGTTTGTTCAGATGGATGTTCTGAAGGCCACCAATAATCAGCCGACACCCACCCACCATGGCCTCAATTTCCTGCTCCTTTTTGTTTAAATTACTAAGTTATTCCATCTCAGTATTAGATCTGCTGTGGTCCGTTCTTAATTAAGTCTGTGTGTACTGCTCCGTGGATGGGAATATTGTCTAACTATCATGCCATAAATGTTTCAGAAACTAATCTTCAAGGCCCGAAGCAAGTCCAACAAAAACTGCATCAAGGATGTGGCGAAGAACAAGAAGAAAAAGACAATAATTGAAAAGGATTCTGACGATCTGAAGATCGCTGATGACGGAGAGAAAGTTGGAAAAGAGGAAAAGACTGTGACTGGAAGCACAAACACAGCACAGGTAGAGGCAGCAGGCGAATCCAAGAAAGAGAGGAAGATAAGGAGTGAGGAAGATAAAAAGGCTGATGCAGGGATGGTGATCAGCATCGAGAAAGTCACACGGAAAGATGAACCAGACAAAAGTGAAGACAAAGTAGCAGAAAACTGCACCGAGGAGACGGAAAGCAAAGCTCCAGATGGAGAGAGATCAGAAGAAAATGGAGAGCCATCGGGAAAGGAGGAGGTCGAGGAGGTCAATGAAACAGTTGTGACTGTAGAGACTCAGAGTGAGACCAAAGAAAAGGAGCTGGAGGGCACTCCGAAAGCTGAGTCCGTGATAGAAAATGGGATAGAGACAGATGAAGAGAAATATGACAGTGAAGCGAATGAAATCAAAACAGGGGAACCAGTGGAGGTTATCGCAAAGGAGACTGTGGCAGATCCAGCAACCACAGACCCAAGCCCAGCGGAGGCTCAGGAGTAGCACCATGCAAGTCGAGCTTTTCCCCCATCATACCTCTTAAATTCCCTCTCTTAAAAACTGATTCCTGAATCCAAATTGAAGTGGGGGGGGGGAAAAGGTTGCTCCGCTCTGCTGCAGCATCCTCCAAACCCCCCATCTCACATGCGATTCCCCCAAAACCTGCAACAGTGTAGCTAAACAAAAGAAGACCGTGACATCAGTTCTATTGTATAACCACAAATACTGAATGTATTTAACAACAGGGGATGCTTCTGCAGGCAGGTCCATGTGGAGTCCAAACACTGAATGGAGGAAGGCAGAGAGATGAAAAACCTCAAAAAGACTTGGTCACGGTTCCAGAGCTGCTTTGTTCACTAAACACTCACTGTTCACTATAGACGACATAAGCTTTAGGTTTAGCTAGTAAACAGTCACTGCAGCTTACTAGCTTTACCTGAAGGTTTTAAAAACATGAAATATATATAAAACAAAAATATTTGGATGAACTTGGAAATTTAGATAGCAAGCTAGACACCATTTTATGATGCTCATCTGAGATTTATTTTTAAGTTTTCTCTATTTTTATTTTGTTTTTAACCAACATCAGGTTGCTCCAACTTGATCCACCTTCATTAACCCTTATGAAAGAGCTAATTACAATATATTTTCATATTAATAATTCGAGAAAATGACTTCTTTTGCTATATGACTTTTTAGTGTGACCAAGTCTTCTGTTTGTGTCAGTTCTTCGTAAGGAAATCACCACCTTTTAGTTTACGAAGTTTGCTCTAAAATATCTCTAAAAAAAGATATTTTAAAGAGAGGAGAATTCCCATAAAATGTTCTTGCAGGTCATTCCTTGTTTCATTCTGATCCAGGATGCAGAGGAAATTTACAGGAGAGCGCTGTTAGAGGTGATGGGAAAGGCATTTGTTGCGACAGGCAATCCAAAGCAGGCCGTGGAGATCATTGTTTACGCTGAGCTCTAAGCCGTCAAGTGCTTCAAAGAGAGCCGATAATCACTCTTTGGTATGATGTGCTAAGCTTACCTTGCATACAGAATGTTCCCAATAATATTCCCAAGCCCAGCCAGACAAGAAAGTGAAATTCAGCTGAATGTTCGCGCCTCAAGGACAGGATCAGTAGATAGGTTTCCTCTGTTAGCTTTACATACAGGTGAGAGGATTTCTGCATGAAATGTGTAGTCGGTGGGGATTGCTCTTGTTCTGTACTGAAGCCAGAAGTGAGAGGTCTGAAGGAGAAAAGTCAGATAAGAAAGAGGTTGTAGTGGAAAAAGGGAATAGAGAAGAAATAAAGAAGGACCAGTGAGCATGAAAGACTCAAATAACGGAAACGAATTGGTTCGTTTAAAGCAACGGTCGTTTGTAACCCCAGCATTTCCTGCAGAGGTTTCTTTCGCTGCTTTACCTCCATCTCTTTTCGCACCTCTTACTGGACACAGTGTCTGACATTAACTGAGTCATAATGCGCCGTATCGCGGCTCTGCTGTGGCTTTCCATTTTAGAGCTGGAACAAGAGGGAGGGAGGAGGCGACGTTTACAGAGCGGGGCTCTCTGTGGATCGCTAATGGATTTTGTCAGTGGGGGATCTGTCAGTAATCATGCATTTATAATGGGGGGGTCATTTGTTGGGGGGAGTTATTAACAACAAAACACCTCAACATGTCAAGTTTCACGTTTAAAAAGGATGTCATGGGGATCCGTTTGCACCGGAGAGGACAAGCTTGATTTAAAATTACTTGCACCTCATCGTAAAACCTGTTTTGTAAACTGTTGGCGTTTGGCTGATTAAAAAGTACCTGCTGTCCTCGTATAATTTGTCACAATTATCTTTTTTTTTTTTGTGTTGTGATAATTAATGATATGTGGTTGCGAAAAGTATTTCTTCTCTGGAGAAGAAGCTCCACGATTTCAAGTGCTCTCCTGCCTCCGGTGAGGTTCCTTTAAATGTAAAATGGAAAATGTTTTTGTGTAGAGTAGAATATAAAACTGTGACCAGTTTAGCCTTATTACTATACTGTTAATGGCCCAGAATCTGCTATTAGAAATGTTTTTAGCGGCATATTGGTGATTTCAGTGTTATATGTTTGTTATAGTCAAACAGCAAAGTTTTGCTCCGGTTGGTGTTTTGAGGATATTGTTCCTGGAGTTAAGAGTGAAGGGATGAAGATGTTTATCCATATGAAGGTATTACATTTTGTATTATTTTTCTGACATGTTCTTGATTGTGAATGTCTGGTTTTCAAGTAAAAACAAAAAGGCTTTATGCTGCCACTGCTTGTTCTGCTAAAGCTTGCAAAAAATGCGTTGCTGACCGGTGCTTTGAGCTACCTCCTCAGGGCCGATGTTGGCTTTCAGCTTTGGGGTCGCTGCAAGGGCGACCTCTTGAAACATATGCTCCCTCTCCTCTACTGCTCCAGTATGACTATGAGCATGAGGTCATCTCTAATGGCAGCCAAGGTCAAAGGTTTCTGAGTGAGAATGGATTTTTCTCAGCTGTACAAACAGGAGATTGCATGAGCACACCGTGACATATTTATTTAAAGTGCTTTGTATCTTTTTTTTTTTTTTTTACAGATTGAGATTTCATAGACACTCCTGAGTTCATTTAGTCGGAACGTGACCAGCATGAAATAACATGCTAATTCATGTTGTTCAACGAACTGCTCCGACCTATTCTTTTATTAATATACTCATTTGTTATGAATTAGTATAATGAAAAGAATTTGAGCTGTTCTTATCTTCTGTAAGTTTCAGTTGAATTTAATTTAATTGATAAATTAAGATATTGAAAGCTACTCAGAATCTCATGTAGATGATGATATATGTTTCTGCTCACCTTGATAATTACGACTTGCATCACAAACAATAAAATACTCTACAAAACAAATACAAATAAGATTTCTAATACCATCATAACCATGTCCATGCATGTGCAGTCAATACTTGGTTGGGGCTCATTTTACCTGAATTCATGCATTAAAGGGGACATATGCAAAATTTCCATTTTGTAAGTTTTCACACTTCTATTTGGGTCTCTGCCCCTTCTAAAATTAGTCTTAAAGCTTAAGCAAATTTTTTGTAGTCCCAATTTGCGCTATTTAATTGACTGTCTCCTGGTAAGTGAGCAGTCTTCCCTGTGATTATCTAGGCCATAGCATGCCAATAATATAATACTTTAGATATGTCAAACTCCAGTTATTGAGGCCTGTGTAGATGTTGCAACACATAAATCAAATAATTCAATTATTGGTGGAAGTCTGTACAACCTGAACACATGATGGAGATTTGATTCAGGTGTCCCAGACAGGGACACATCTAAACGTTACAGGACACCAGCCCTCAGGGACTGGAGTTAGCTTCAAGCTATAATCTTTAAAAGAGAAAGTAATAAGTGCTTGGAATATATTACTCTTTTTGTAATGAATGTATTCATGAGTTTTAATACTTGATATTGTTGAGATTTAAACTGTTGTGAGTCAATGTGGGTGCTCCTGCTTTCTTCTTCTTATGTGTCTGCTGTAAAATCTGAAAAGTATGACTTGAGCGTTCCCATTGGGGGTTTTTCTACGCATACAGTATATTCCACAAGCGAAGCATAGTCTGGAGAACAGATTAGATATTCAGGTAAGCCTGAGTGACCTGATTGTTTTTTATTCCGGCCCAACAGCATGGACAAGAGAAACTTTGACAGAGGACCTGACCCTGTTCCCGCTTGTCCTCTACCTGAGCCCTGCAGGGTTCCGTTTCCTCAATAAGCACTTACTATTTAGGTTGCTGTGTAGTCTAACCTCTAGCATGAATATGCTCAAGGGAGTGTGAGTAATTGGGGTTTTTCTTCTATTATTTTTGCCTGCTGTTAATGTTAACACAGACAGGGAGTCAAAAAGCAAGGCAGAACCTGACATTTAATCAGCTAAACGATGCTGAACCATGTTAACTCTGCCATGTGTGAAAAGGAGGGGACCTTTGACTAATGTTAGACTCAAATATACATCTGTGCTCCCCTCCATTTATAGTATCTGTGAGAAATATACAGCTTGCTGTCTTATATCAGCATAAATGTCTCTGAGCCTGAGTAGTGGCGCTGGTGCAATCGCTCTTGGTAATGCTATAAAAAAACGCAATGGTTCATTTCCTGTGTGCTACAATGATGTGAAACGGACAAAGTAGAAGCGACAGAACATAACACAATAGGATGCAGTCACTTTTTTTTCCCTGTGTTGTCACTTTAGCTTTGCTCACAGCCTCTGGAAAATGTATTGTTAGATTTTCTTTCTCTCTGATGTATTTTTTTAACACCTCAACTGCCATCTTGAATGTTAAGTATCTTCGATCATGTGCCGATGTCACTTGCATTGATGTAGAAAAAGTATTCTTTATCTTTCCTATTCTGAGTATGTCAACATTCCTACTGTACCTGGCATCTGTACAATTTGTATATTATAAAATGATTTATATTTAATGTGTACATGTGTCCTTGTCTTTTTTTTTTTTGTCAATATTCAAAGTTCAGCTTTTGTGTTGTTTAGGTTTTTCAAACAGGAAGGAGACAAAAAAATGAAGCTCAACTTTTTGATCATGTGATCAGAGTCTTGTTCACCATTAACATGTTGAAACACTGGCTTCCCTTGGATACAGACTGTGCCCTTTGTTGTATGGTTGAGAACAACTTGACATTAGAAATAAACTGAAAAAAGTACAAATTTAGTATTTCATTCAACTAGAAAAGAAAATGGTTAATGTATTGCTAAAGTTCAGAATCTGCAGATTTTACTTCCTTTTTACAGAAATCTTCTTCTTGCAAAAAGTCTGAAACTGAAACTAGATCTGACTTCCCAAGGATGTTTTTTTTATCTGGCAAAGTTGTGGCTGAAAAATGTGTATTCGTTGGTGACGACTAGAACAGAGCTCTGGTTGATCTGAAAAGTATATTAATTTCCTCTGAATTTAATTATCCTCAATATGATAAAGCACTTTGAATTGACTTTTTGCTGAAGTGTGCAATATAAATAAACTTACCTTTTCTTTCCTGGATCAACTGATTAGCATTTGAAAATACTAGGAAAAGAACTTTGAGTGATTTAGTTGAACAAACCACCAGAATTGGTTAATGCTACATACATTTCAAATGGATTCACTTTGTTTGTATATTCGACACATTTTGTTATTTAATCAACTGTGCAGGTTGAATAATTATCGACACACTACCTTTATAAGGCAATGGAGAGGAAACAATCTTGATTAAAAATTGGGTATATATTACATAGGTAGTTTATTAAACTGTGAGGTATTATAATTCATTCCATTAACTCAATCTTAGCATGACACAAAGGTGGAGCACTGTAGAGAACATGGTCAGACATCAGGGAAGTGGGAGATTGTCCCGTCAGACCATCAGTTCCTGAAACCACTCATACAAAAACAAAATCTTTTAAAAGTGAGACCTCGACAGATCACGCTGGATAGCTGGATAAAAAGATTGAGGAGTCCAACTGAGTCCATCTCTTAAAACCATGGGAGGTTAAGGGCAGACTGGGCTCACAACACAGAGATTTTAGGTCCCTTCACATGGTGCCTGTTTGTTAGATCCCCCAGCCACTGCTCTCACACATAAAAACTTTCCTCTTGTAAATCCTCACTTTTCAAAATTAAAATTCCACCTGGACCCTCTGTTTTCATTTTTTTATGTTTGGTGACCATTGTCCTATGCACTGATATTAATGAAACGTCATTTCCCCTTGGAAATTTCATTCCCATTCTCAAGTGCTTTTTCTTTTATTTATTTTTACACATTTCTTTATTTTGGACACATTTGTGAGTCACAAGGCTGAAAACAACTTAAAATGAAATTCTGCTAGAATGATGACATATGCCATTTAAGCTAAAGTTAAACTTCCTGTGTCCATAATAAGCAGTTGAACCTGAAAACCTGTAATATTGCTGCAGTAATTGAACTTTACCTTTAAGTCCTTGGTCTTACCTGGAGTACTGATCCATAATACAGCATGAGAACTGGAGATGCTCCCATGAAAAAGATAAAGTGGCAACCACAAGTCTATGAACACAATGAGCGCACAAAGCAGAGGAGAGTCTAATGGAGAGGTGAGACTTATGAACCCAAAGCATCATTTTCTTAGAGTAAAAACATATTTCTTTCAGATTTGCTCCATCTGGTTATTACCTTCATTACCATTTGAACCTCAGAATACATCAACTTGATAGTTATTTTCCCACAACAACACAATAATCCATTTCCCCCACTCTCGGATCAAAACAACGCAATTTAGGCCCAGGGCTGACCCTCATGCATCAATATTTCACGTGAAAACACAAACACACATCATAATATCCCTGTGGTGTTTACGAGCTACATTATATTTACAGTTGAGTCAACACAGCTGGTGTGATCTATAAGCCACGAGCTGCGAGCCCAAGGGAGTGTAAGGTCATTAAGGAGACGGCTTTGCCTCCAACCAAAACGCCAACCATCAGACCCGTTCTGCTCCCTGCAGTAGGCATTAATGGCTCTTTAGGCAGACTGGTGAGCCGCTGGAGAGCCGCTAAAAGATGGTCAGAAACACCAAGAATCTGCGGTTTGGGATATTAAACTCATGACCCAGAGCATTTCCATCTCAGAGGTTTCTCTCCGAGAACCAGAGGTAATGTTATTCAATGCTTTGCTGACGGCAGGTTGTTCTGAATAATGAAGTTTACTTGCAAGTAAGAAGAAGGAAAAAAATAGAAATATTTTTACGACTGCTACAGAGTTCGGGAAGCAGCAGCGTTTCTATCAAAACAAACTCTGTAGGTTTCTGCACCCAGAGGGTTCATAAGGTCCAGTAAGAGTTGGAGCTTTAGCCTTTATGCTTGGCATGAAACTAATTTAAAATCAGTGCTGTCCAAATATCTCTATACTGTTTTGTTTTTTTTGTTTTTTTTATCAGGTGTGTCTGCAACTGATGAGATGTGGGTTCCAGTTGTGCTTGATGCAGTGCTGCCATCTAGTGGCCAGTTAAGACCCTAATGTAAATAAAACTCAACATGCAAACTGCAAATGCACTTTTTTCTGTTACTTGCACTAATGTGTTCCTCATTACTACTTAAAGAATAGGTTAACAAAAGCTATAATCCCTAATGCCTAAGAATTGCATTTGTTCTTAAATACCAATCCACTATTTTACAAACTTATAAGCTTTTCACTGAACAACTGTATTTATGCTGAGATTACATACAGGTAAACTAATTATTGTATTAGCAGTTTAGTATACTTGTTTAGTTTGGAGCCTTTGGTAAAGTGGGCTACACAAAAATGCATGCCACACTTCTCAGATTTTTATTTTTAAAATATTTTACTCCCGTAATGATTAAACTTGATTTTTAGGCCCTATGTGTGCCTGAGATCTAATAATAATGATTATAATAACAATAATTTACTTTTGTGACATTGCTGATATACAGAAAATAAAAAAAAGAATGAAAACACATTTGAAAAATTCAATCAAATAGCTAAAATGACAACCTGAAGGCATTAGAAACATATTTGTAAAGTGGAAAAGTTCAGCTAAATTTTCAGTATAATTTATTTTTCAGAAATTTGAACAGAGCAAACAATTTAAAAGTCAAATGATGCAAGTTGTCTGTACAATTTATTTCAACATTTTCAACTTTTCTTATTGGTTGACTTATGCTTTAGTCTTTTTTGTCTCACAGCACCATCTATCATTATCGAATACAGCAGGAATGGGCAAAAAGCATTTCTGGACTTAAAGCAGTAACTGATCAGGGATTGATGATACTTTCTGGACTCTCAGTTCATTTGAGCTAAAATTAAACAGCAGACAGAAATTAGTGACTCAGCATTTATCCAGCTGACATTAGCATCTTCATTCTTTCATGAGGGCCAACAAAGTGCACTTAAGCCTCCGTCTCTGGCCAGTTTAATACGTGGTCAGCACCGGAGCATTCGTTATCACAGCCGAGGGGGATTGCAACGGCACGTCAAAGACTGAATCACTTTGTCTTGATTTGCAAAATCTTTGAAAAACCATTACCTCATTGTTAGATAACCTCCTCAAGTTCTCCCCCCTGACCCTGCACACACACTCTGTTAGCCGATTAACTCCTCCCAGATTAATTAGAACCATTACCTCTGTGTTTTCCAGTCGGTGTCTTATCAACCTTTGTCAGACTTAAACTGTAAATTAATTAGCACCAACTCTCCTGTCATTTGGTAATTACCTCAGCAGCAGCAGGAGTTCAGTGAAAGGCTTACATCAGCACCTTGTGCTTCTTCTGACTTTGCTGAAACCTCATTGGACATTAAGTGATAATACTCTCCCACTGCTGAGGTCTTCACCTGAACAAGAGACGAATAGTTTACCACGTCCAACAAGGAAGAGTTATTATTTTTTTTAGGATTATTATTATTGGTGAAATAGGTTTGATTTAAATATTAATAATTTTTTTTGTGCAAAACTGCAGAAAATATGGTTTTGAAAGCAATCCACCAAAAATCTGTGATTAAAGGTGTTTTATTATAGCTTTCTTATTATAATGCTGTTTAGTTTGAAGGTTGTCTAACCTAAAATCAAAGACGTTCTAGAATCAGTTGATCATTGTGGAAAAGAACAAGAGAAATACTCATTAATATCACAGAATGTATAAAGTTAAATATTATGTTTGATGTCATAATTCAGAAATAATGTTCTAAATTACTTACAGGGAATAAAGTTTAGGCAGCCTCTTTTCTAATCTCTGTGTGACGTGAAAAAGCCCAATTGCAAATTTTTTTCTGGATTTACGTTTTATCACACCTAACTTGCTAATATGGTTCCGAGTATAAAACCTATGCGTTTTCCTTAAACACCTGCAGTTATCTCTGATATTGAAACTGCTTTGATAATTGAAATTTTCATGTGTGAGGAAAAAAGGCAAAAACAGAAGAAAGCTATGAGAGGGAAATCAGATTAGTCCTGCAGTTTGTTAGTGACTATTTGTTGATTTTATGTTTTCCAAAACTATTTCTTAATATTTTTTAAAAATGCTATAAATAAAATATGTAGGCAAGCTAAAAGTCTATGAAATGAGGAATCAACACATGAATGTGCTTTCAGATTAGTTGCTTGGTGTCCAAAAATTCAAAAAGTCCAAAAAAATAGATCATTTGTGGTGAGGAAAAAAAAGTAAATAGATGCAATTTGGACTATATTTGGATTTTTGGGTCAGTACTTAAGCTTAATGGGATCATGGAAAGAGTTATATTCTAGAAAATGATAGCAGGGTTTTGCACAAGGGAACTAAAGAGCCATTTCTGTTTTTAAATCTTCTTTTGAGTTTCAGGGCTCAGAAACCTTTTAATACACCTGCTGAGATTTGTTACAACAGAAAAGCCGGACGTCGTTGAGAGAAGAGTCGTCCAGGGCCCACTGGTACTCCTCCATCTTGGTCTCTATGCCGCAGATGCCTC